GCTGAAACAAAACTAGCTCTCGGTTAACGTGGTACATGCTATAGGCTCAGAAATATCTTGATAGGAGGAGCTGAGAAAGCTGCCTTCTGTAGAGTGGGTAGTAATTCCGTCCCTCTAGCCCAAGATCTTCCCCGGGGGTGGGGGCTGGCTTGGAGGGTTTCCCAGCGGGGTCCTTTCCTAGCTCTCCTTGAAAAGACCCCTGGGATTCCCTGGCAGTCTCCAAGGACGAGCCAGGCCTGGCCTTGCTCAGCTTCTGAAATCAGGCAGGATCAGGTGTGTTCAAGGTGGCTCTAATAGAGTAAGATACTGTGGTAGAGATCTAATCCGTTTAATTGTGCTGATACTATGATGGATCTTTTAGGTACCTAATTTTTACATTCCTAAATAGCCCACCTTAATGTAATCACATTTTTTCTGCTTAAAAGGGCACCTCTAGCCTGGCTGTGGATTCCCCCCACTGGGCCTCCTTGTCAGGGGATGGACCCGATGCTCTCTCTAGAGGATCCCTTCCAGCTTGGCCGTTCTAAGATGAAAAGCCTGTTAAGGCTACAAATGGAAGGAGACGGGTCCTCCTTTGAGAATGCTGGTCATGTGACCAGAAAGGGACAGGCCCCACCCAGTCACCCCCAAGTCCTTACTTGTGGGGCAGATAAGGAGGGAGGGGGACCCCACAGAGGCAACCACGCAGATCCACCCTGCGGCTAGGGTCAAGTTCTCTTTTAATGGGGAATTGGGATGGCTGAAACAGATGTGCTCCTTTTGTGTGTGTGTGATTTTGAAGGGTAGGAAGGACGCAGGAGCCAAACCGGGCAGGAGCGCTGGGTGGGAGAACACACAGGTTGGGCACAGAGGCAGCCACTCCCCCCACCACCCCGAAATGGTTTGTTCAGGGACCATAGGGGGGTTCCTTCGGGGAGGTGTAGGGGAAGCTGGCTGCCTTCGGCAGAGTCAGACCCTCGGTCCAGCTGCATTGAGTCCAGCCGGCACCCGTACGGTGTCCGGGTTTTCCAGGCGGGATTCTTTCCTGCCCCTCCCTGGAGGCGGCTTCCCATCTGGGGCCCGGCCCGGCCTGGCCCTGCAGAGCTCCTGCAAGCAGGCGAGGTCAAGGGCGGGGGAGCCGTTCTCAGACCTCCCTGCCCTCCTCTCTCGGCTGCCGCCTGGGCACTGAATCCGAGGTGGCTGGCGAGAGGCGGCGGAGCCCTCCTCCCTGCCCGAGGCGTGTGTGTGTGTGTGTGTGTGTGTGTGTCCCAGCCCCAGCCTCATCGTCTTCCTCCTTCCTTCCTTCCTTCCTTCCTTCCTTCCTTCCATCTCGCCCAAAGCCCCGAGAGTCTTCGCAGCCGGAACGACGTCTTCTACTTGCAGCCGGAGCGGTCGTGCATCGCGGAGTCGCCCCTGTGGTACTCGGTGATCCCGATGGACAAGAGCATGCTGGAGAGCATGCTGAACCGGATTCTGGCCGTGCGCGAGATCTACGAGGAGCACAGCCGCGGGGGTGGGGGGCTGGACGACGACATGGACTGAGCGCTGCTCTGGCCTTCCCGGAGCGGAGACTGTGCGGCTGTGTCGCAATCCTGCCGGCAGGTCATTGGGGGACATCTGGGGGGTGGGGGGGCCGAGGAAGGGGCGGAGAGAGTGTGGGGCACCTTGCCCCTTCCCCATCCGGGTTGTGATGAGCCCGTAGGACTCTTCCCACTATGCGCTAGTGAACGGTTCCCCCGAGAGGAGGTTCCCCCCCCCACTGGGCACCCTTCTCCCTCTCTTTGTTGCTGCCTCGGAGTGCCTGCCTGCCTGCTTGCCCCCCCACCCCACCCCCTCTGGCCCACGTAGCACAAGACGGATGAGGCCAGGCTGGGGAAGCATAGCGGGAGGCTCTTTTTTGAGGGGGGGAAGGAGAGAGATGGCAGAGGTTCTGTAGCAGGGGCCGAGGGGGTCCCTTTCGGTGGGCTGAAGCCCCTTCGGGATTGACATAATGCGTGGGAAGGGGGGCCCATTGTGCGCATGTCCTCCTGCGTGGGGCTCCTGCAGGGCCCCCCCTCTGCCCCACCTGCGCTCTTTCCTTGGGGAGGCCCTCTTTCCTTGACCCCAATGGTTGGTGTCCTTTCTTCTATCTCCTCCCTTGCAGGTTGGGGATGGCAGGGCGGGCTCCGAAAGACCCACCGGGAGCCTCTTCCGCCCGGCTTCCCTGACGCCCTGCCTGGCCACCCCAGGCTCTCGCTCTCTCTGCCACCCGGGGCCAGAGGTCCTCCGGCATCTCCCCTCTGCCATCCCCGTCTGTGTGTGTTGCGTCAACCTCTCCGCGCTGTGGCTGCTGGTGGTGGTGGTGGTGCTGGTGGTGCCCGTCTTATTGAGCCTGTATATATTGTTCTGGCCCAAGCCCCCCCCCAATCCCCGTTGTGTCCTTGTCGCCAGTGAGCCAGTTTGCGGGTCTTGTCGTTTGTAGTGATACTGGGGCGTTAGGACCCGCCCTCGCCGCCCCACCTCCCTTGCTGACCCATCTTTCGGGAAATCATGCATTTCAAATAAAGGCACAAAACCTGCCCTGCAGTGTCTGTCCCTCTCCTTCCAATAAGTGGGGAGGGGGGGCAGGGAGGGAAAAGGAAGGGAGGGCTCCTCCTGCCTCTGCACCCCAGGAGGTGCTGCCCCCTCCCTCCCCCCCCCACAGCATCTTGCCATTTCCTCATAGCCCCCTGGACCCAGCAGCACCCCCAGCCCCTTACTTTGCAAGAGTTCGTTTTTAGCAGTAAAATTGTGGCTGAGCCAGTTGAGCAGGGGTGGGGTGGGGGGAACTGGAAGCCTTACTCCAAATTAATTAATTTTTTCCCTGCCTTTCTCTCAAGAGAGAGAGGAAGCTCTCCCTCCAGCTGAGGTGGGTTAGCTGTCCACTCCATGCCGTGTTCCAGAGGTGGTGCCTCTCACCTCCTGGCCACTAGGGGGCAGTAGGTTCTACAAGACCTGCCCAAGCCACAGGGCACACCCCCCCCCATCCTCCCTGAAGCTTGTGCGCTGCTTGCCTGCTTGGGTTTCTTTGGGTTGGAGCGAGCCGTTCTGTGCCGAAGGATCAGAGGAGCAAGGAAGGGGCAGCGGGAGAGGCCTTCAGCCCAATCTGTCTGCCCTGCCAAGGTCCTTGGGCTGTCCGGCACGGGGCTCGCCATCTGGGCTGCAGGCTGATGCAATCCGCTCATGTTCAGCTGCCTCCGAGGAGGGGCAGGGGGGGGGTCTTCTGGGACTCGGGCGAGGAGGGCGAGCCGAACCGTAACCCTAAACGGCCAGGTCCCCGGGCCTCCATTTGCTGCTGGCTTTGCTGCCGTGCTTCTGGTTTGCACCCCAAGCGGGGCTTTGGCTGGCCCCCTCCGGGCCGGGACTGACTTTCTCGCTGTCCTGGAAAGAGATGCTGTTGGCGGGCGTGAGGCTGGGGCAAGGAGCCAGGGAGTCGGCCGGCATCTCCGCCAGACCCCCTGTCGGGCGCCACTTGCTGTGGGCCACGTGGCAGACCTCCACCACGTTGAGCAGGAGGGAGAGGCAGGCCACGGCCAGCATGAAGAGGACGAAGATAGTCTTCTCGGTGGGCCGGGAGATGTAGCAGTTGACCGTGTTGGGGCAGGGCCAGCGGCTGCAGCGGTAAAGGGGTTTCAGCTCGAAGCCGTAGAGGACGTACTGGCCCAGGATGAAGCCCACCTCCAGCAGAGCCTTGAAGAGGATGTTGCAAAGGTATGTCCTCAGGAGGGCCCCTCGGAGTCGGATCCGGCCACAGGCATCCCGCACGGAGGCGGGGTGGCCGCTGAGGGCGGCCGTCCGCGTCTTGGGCAGGCCCTCCTGCTCTTTCTCCTCCATGCGCACCAAGTGCAGGATGTGGCCCAAGTAGATGAGGCTGGGCGTGGAGACAAAGATGATCTGCAAGACCCAGAAGCGGATGTGGGAGATGGGAAAGGTCTGGTCGTAGCAGACGCTCTGGCAGCCCGGCTGCTTGGTGTCGCAGGAGAAGTTGGACTGCTCGTCCCCCCAGACCTTCTCGGCCGCGGCCCCGGCCCCCAAAACCAGGATACGGAAAAGCAAGAGCACCGTCAGCCAGACTTTGCCCACCACCGTCGAGTGCTCCTGGGCTCTCTCCAGCAGCCTCCCCAGCAGCTGCCAGTCGCCCATGACCTGCGAAAGGGAGCCAAGAGGAGCAGGGGCGCGGTGAGGGACCATCGGAACGGGCTCCCTCCCGCCCAGCCGGCGGCCTCTCCCTAGGCCAAGCTGGCTGCCCTTCGATGTCCTGGACCCAAGGCTCGCGGGGCTCCTCTTCCCCGGCGGGAGCCCTTCTGCCTCTGGAATCCGGGCACCTCGCCTGGCGTGTCCCATTGCGTCTCTTAAGCCCCAGCTTTGCACCTGCCAGAGGGTGCCAGCTTTGCTGCTTCTGGGCAAGGCGTTCCTGCCTCGAGAGGTGCTTTGCCACTCTGGCGTGCTTTTCCCCCCCAGGGGATGTGCCCCCCCCCCACCAGGCTGAGCGTTAAAGCCAAGCGTTCTGCATTTCCATTCACACCCCTAACCCCTGTGCCGCCCCCCATGATTCCTGCCTCGAGAGGAGCTTTGCCACTCTGGCGTGTTTCCCCCCCCAGGGGATGTGCCCCCCCCACCAGGCTGAGCGTTAAAGCCAAGCGTTCTGCATTTCCATTCACACCCCTAACCCCTGTGCCGCCCCCCATGCGAGAAGATAAGTACTAGAAATACTGCAACTCAAGGCCTTCAGCCCAAGGCTGCGAGCAGGAGATCTCAAGAGCGCTCAGGAACACCAGAGCCCCACGTGTCCCCCGGAAAACAAAGATGGCTAAGCATCTACAGACTCGGGCCGGAGTCTATGAGAGCTTTCGGTGCTCCTAAGCCTGCCGTTTGTGTGGCTGCCACAAACGTTGTGTCCCCCGAACCCAGAAATCTCTGCCCCCCCCACTAGGGGAAGTTGCTGGAGAGGTGGGTAGCGGAGGGTGGTTGGAACGCCAGCCTGTTCAAATCATGCTTGGCTCGGCTGCCATCCCACTCACCTCTTCCAGGCTTCGAGGTCTCAGGATGAAGAACTGCACGTCCTGGCTGGCATCGCCTCTCCCAAGAGGGAGCTGGCTCTGCTGGGGGGCCCCTCTGAAAGAGAGCCGGCTCTTTTAGAGGCTGGCCGGGGGTCCCTTTCTGTCGGTGCCACCAGCGGAACCAAGAGTGCCCGACCGGCGCTGGGCTTTCTCGGTGTCAGAGCTGGGCTGCTGACGGGTTTCTCGCGCCTCCCCCTGTGACTGGCCTGTGTGGGGTCCACTGAAAGGCAGGGGCGGGGATCCCTCTGTACCTTTATTTTTGGACTGCGCATTGGGTTAATTATAGCCCCTCCTGCAGGGTGAGGGTGCCGGGTGAGAGGGGTTATATTTAGGCAGGAAGCTCTTCTGAAATGGGGGGGGACACCTTTGATTGACCTGCCTCTGGGAGCCTGCATGCGCTCGGAAGGTCATTCCCTTCCGCTGGCGGGCCGCGCTTTGCCCACCCTCGTCATGAGAGCGCCCAACTCCTCCCTCTGCCTCGTGGCAATGTGACATTGGCAAGATGCTCTTTCTTCTCAGTGGCACCCTTTCTGAACAAGGCAGATGTTTGGGAACAACTGAAACATCTGGAGGCTTGGGGAGGGTCTGGGTAGCCAGCCTTTGCAGCTGGACCCCCCCCCCAGCTCCGATTTAACAGACCCGGTCCGAGATCAACCCAGGACATGGCTTGGGCTGCAGGAGAGAAAAGGAGAGGTGTCCTCCGTTCATTCCGGCTGCTGTCCCGGCTCTGCGTTTTCTGTGCAAGACAAATCCTGTGGGCCCTCCCTTTGGTAAGATCCTGCCTGAAGGGAAGGGAGGCAAGGTGGTTCAAGATTTGGTCTCTGTGGGTGTCCTCTCTGTGCCAGCAGGTTTCCTGTTATCTGTCGCTGTCAGTTACCTACTTTGAAATCTTTGTGATTTTACACAGCCCTGCCTTTCTTACGATTTGCGCTTGAGTTGAAACGAGTGGTTTCAGGCTGTTCCTCACCCACCAGGAGTTCCTCCTCTCTTAGCAACACGGAGCATTGGAGGCGTCCTTGAGCGGAGCCAGGCCCTCAGACTGGTCAACTCTGACTGGCAGCCGTGGCTCTCCAGCATTTCAGGAAAGGTCTTTCAGAGCCCTCTCCGAAAAATCCCCGGTGGTCTCCTATGCAAGTACCACGTGGGCCCAACCCTGCTTAGCTTCCAAAACCAGGCGAAGAGGTTCATGTTTAGGTTGGAACAACTTGCCTGGCACACTGGGATACCCGTGTGTCAAAGACCGCTGTCCTCGGCAGGTCCTATCTGCAGGTTGTCTGCCCCTCCCTTTCAGAAATCAACAGGTACAAAGCTTATATTCCATTAAAAACAAAAAGTGTTTAATAAACAATTGCAAAACTGAGCTGGGGTGTTGATGAGGGTACAGATACTAGCCAATCGGTACTGCCTAGCCCCAGCCAGCCTTTTCCCCATTTGGGTGAAACCACTCTGAAAAAGTACAGTCATTTTCCTCAGCATTGTGTTTGGTGGGGGGGAAAGCATGGCTTTAAAGATTTGGTCTGCTTTCAGCCCCTCCTTTCTCGTAACCCTGCCCTGCCTTCCCTGATCTGAGCCACTGAAGTTCTTGGTGCTGTTTTCCTTTATGCACAAAGTGTGTTTCAGAAGCTCCCAGCAGGAAGGCATGCCTCGTTCGGCACTCAGGTGTGTGTTCCCTGGCTTTTGCTCCCCTGATGGTGTTGTCCTGTGCCTTACAGCAGAATACACAAGGCGCCTTACCCAGGCGGGACGGAGGCAGGGGCTGGCTGCAGAGTTACTGCCTGGCCTACGGGATTAGATATGCAGATCCAACCCCCCGACTGGTCTTTCTTGCTCCTTAGCTAGACCTCATGGAAAGGGGCACGAGAACGTTAGCGGCTGGGCTTCACGGCCCCCTGCGGCGGCTGTGGTAAGTGCATCGGTCACATGTGGCACCCGCCAAACACACCTGAAGGCAAGGAGCGCAAACCATTTTAATACTGTGACTGCTTTGGTACAGTGATGTGCAGCCAAGTGGCAACAGCATCCTGCCCCCACCCCCTCCATGGACCCCAATTAAAAACAGCAGAGAGTCCGGGTATGTGTGTTGTGTGTGTCTTCCTTTCCCTGCGGGAGAACTTCCAGGCCTTCAAAATATCTGTACTGTACATAGAAGCGAGATCTGGCCACCACAGCGAAAGGCACCTGCCTCGGACTTCTCCTTGGTGGTATCTCTCGAAGGCCCCAGAATTCTGCCAATGTCCCCCCACCCCAAAAAAGGGGTGAGCCGCTAGCATGGGCTGTAGCTGCAAATCTCCTCCCTCTGGAACACCTGGAGAGGAAGGGCCAGGAGCAAGACACCCGGTCTTGCAGTCTCACTGGGCCCGAAACCACTGGGTGAATTTAAAACTGCAGAGCAAGGCATCTGCGTGAACTGCATCCATCCCCAAAGGTGACCCGAGGGGTTCCCGTGTACAAGGCACAGCGTTTCCATTTCAGGATGCAGGAAACACGGAGTGAACGCCAGGCTTGGGGATGACTTTTTGTCTCAAATTCTGCCTGCCTGCCTTCTGTTGGGAGGGGTGGGTGGAAGGACTGGGGAAGGGGCCCGTGGGATGGGCACAAGCAGAAACCCACCCCACCCCTATGGTGGCAGCTGTACCCTCGGAGGCAGGAGCAGCTCCTTGCCAGCTGCAGGCAGAGGTTCCCCCCCCCAACAGAGATTCTGAATGGGCGAAACCAGACCAGAGGACGTGACCATTGCCTGGGTCCATCGGGCATGATATGGGCCGTTGCGGCTGGCAGGTCAAACTATTTGCCCAAGTTGAAAGCAGGATGTTTTCCTCTTCCCCACTAGAAGACGCTGCCCAAGGCTGAACCTGCCGGTCGGTCTCCTGTCTGATCATGAATCCGACCCTACCGTGCTTGCACCCCGAAGCAGATTTGTGGGGGAGGGGGAGGGGGGAGCTTCTGGGCCATATAATCCTGTGGTTGGATCTGTTATCACAAAGCCCACAGAACGGATCTGGACCAATGTGTAAACAGAGAGCGCAAAGAAGGGGACAGAAAACAGGCAGGGCTGGCAAGGGGCGACTGGGACACGTGGAAAGCACCCACGGCCGTGTTTGTGGCTCTCGAGAGGGCAGGCCAGCCGGCATGGGGCCCATGGCAGTCCACAGCAGAGTTCCCCAGCCATCCTGCCAGGCCCGGCAAGCTACTCCCCAGGGGATGGCCCCCGCCCCTGGGATGGCCTTAGCAGGCAGAGCAGCGGTCGCCCTTCTCCTGTAGCCCTGAGTTCCGCCGGAGAATGTCTTTGAGGGAGCCGTCCTGCTCGGTCAGGAGCTGGTTGATTTCATTCTGCTTGTATTCCGAGGAGAGCTTGTGGCCCAGGAAAGAGCCTTTCCCCGAGGAGGGGTTGCGGGTCGGGTGAGTGCGGCGGGCACAGGCCCGCACCAGCAGGAACACCACTTCGGCCACGTTGAGGATGATGCAGATGCCGGAGGTGGCGAGCATGAAGACGGTGAAGATGGTCTTCTCGGTGGGCCGCGAGATGAAGCAGTCCACGGTGTTGGGGCAAGGGTAGACGTCGCACTTGACCAGTCGGATCATCTGATAGCCCGGGTAGATCATGTAGAAGATGTACATGAAGGTGGCTTCGAAAAGGATGCGGAAGATGACGCTGCAGATGTAGGTCCACCACAGCGACCCCGAGATGCGCATCTTGTGCTTCTTGACTTCCTCCAAGTGCTTCGGGTCTCCGTGGCCGGTCATCACCAGCAGCTTTTTCTCCTGGTGCTGCTGGTAGGCCACGTGCATGGCCACCAGCAAAGCCGGCGTGGTCACCAGGATCAGCTGCAGGGCCCAGAGGCGGATGTGGGAGATGGGGAAGTAGTAGTCGTAGCAGACGTTCTTGCAGCCGGGCTGCTGGGTGTTGCAGGTGAAGGACGACTGCTCGTCGCCCCAGACGCTCTCGGCGGCCACCACCAGCACCATGATGCGGAAGATGAAGACCACGGACAGCCAGATGCGGCCGATGGAGGTGGAGTGGCGGTTCACGCCGATCACCAGGGCGTAGAAACCTTCCCACTTCATGGTTCTTCACACCTGAAAGGAAACAGCAGCAGCAGCAGCTTGGTCAGAAGCAGGTGGGGACGTGCAGGCTACGGAGCGAGGAGAGAGGCACAGAGATCCTGGCACTCCCGGAGACCTTCTTCCGATACTGCCCGTTCCCTTCCCCCCCCCCCAAGATCATTATGCCAGTCAAACATCCAAGAGTTCTAGCACCAAGCTCAAGCTTGGGCACCTGGGAACAAGAGGGTGGGATGGTCCACCTTGGAAAGCAGGTGGGCACGCCTTCATGGGGGCTGATAAACGGAGGGGTGGTGGCCATGGATCCCTCAGGCCGCAAGGGGCGGAGATTAGGGGACCCTTCAGGGCCCGCCAGAACTCGACCGTTTTCTGTTTTGTCACCCCAGGGCTTCAGCACGTTGTTGGCCTTTGCAGCTGAGGTCAGGCCTTGGGACCTCCTCCCCTCTTCTGCCTGAAGGAAGAGAAGGGAACCTGCGGGCCTCCCGCTCCTGTTGGGCTCCGACTCCCATGAGGAGGCCCAGCTAGAGTGGCACATGGCCAGGCATGATGGGAGTCCGAGTCCAACATCCATAGCCCCACAGTGGATGCCGGTCTCTCTTGTCCCTCCCTCCCTCCCTCCGGCTTATTGAAAATTGCATCTCAACAGCAACACTGCCAAAAAAGCCGAGTTTGCACAAGGGTGTTTTCCAAAGGCACGCCCGTCAACCTTCGCTCTGGAGTCGGTCAAAGTGATGCTGGGATTTTTGTCACCCGGGGTGGGGGGTGGGACGCCCGGGGCCCTCCGCTTGTGGCTAGACCCCACCTCTCCTCATCCACAGCCGGCAGAATCAGGGGGCCGAGAAACCCTCCGGGTGGCGGTCGGTTCCCCAGGCCCGTCTTTGGCTCGGTCTTCAAAGCGGCGCACCAAAAAGCCTGCGGGACGCCCCGCGACGCCGGCGAGCGATCCGGGCCACACGCCGGGAGGCCGCCAGGGAGGCCGCCGCCGTCCTGCAAGCAAGAAGGCCTGCCGCCGGAAGGACAGGACCGCCGGCGACGGTGGGAGCCCCGGGGACGACGGAGAGCAGCTTTCGGTACCTCCCGTGGTCGGCGGTTGCTTTATTATGACCCGCACACCGCGGATGGGGGGGGTAGCCCTGCGATCACACACACACACACACACACCCCGCATGGCTGTCTCGGTTCGCCACCCCTTCGCTTAGACGGCACGATTCAAGCTGAAACCGACAGCAGCAGCAGCAGCAGCAAGAGCAGCATCCTCCTCCTCCTCTCCCTCGTCCACCACCTCCCACGGTTGCTACGAGAGGCATGCGCCGC